TGGCCCAACCTGATCCCTTGCAACATAATTCTGCCCTGTTGAGCCTTGCAAATGTTCTACCCAATGAACACCTGTCCAGGACCTGTGTCACAGCTTAGGTCTGTACTGGGGAATATTTTCTTCAATATCCATCACTTGCCAAGTTTCACAGGTCTGTAAGCCAGCTCAATCCATTATTATGAGAGTTCCTGCAGTACAGTTTTCATTCACCCTGTCCATTAAGGCTGGAGTCTAGACATAGACTGAAACCCATTTCTTCTTGGGTTTCAAGATTAGAGCAGAGGTGTGACCAAAGACACAAAGCCTATTCCACCAGCTCTTTTTTCTCATGTGGCATTTCACTCAATCTGAAGCTAACTGAACATGCAGCCCAGCTGTGTCTCATTCAACTGGTTCTTCCAATGAGCAGTAAGCCATCCTGACAGTTTAAATTTAAAGTAGGACCATACTTAGATGTAGGGAGAGCCAAGTATAGTTCAGCCATTTCTCATACATGCAACTTGTTAGATCAGTCAAGGAATCAAGTAAGTAAAGAATTTAGTAGGAATGATACACCAGCAGGTATACACTCCTTCACTTTATCAGAAATCTTTAAAAAACATTCTGTCAAAGAATACAACCTTCAGAATTGATCCTCAGAACTGAGTGCAGGAGACATTGCTTTGCACTTACACAGCTAATCTAATTCAGATCTAGTTTCTTTAATTGAAATTGGTTACAACTAGTAGCCATTCTGGACAGAAAGATGGAGAGGAAATAAGATATCCATACCTAAACAACATAAAATCAACAGTAACAAGGACCAATCTTAACAATGGTATTAAACATGCAAAAAACACGCTCAAACAGGAATTAGAGGAACACTTCACCACTAATGACCCAAGGCGCATGTGGCAAGGTATACAGGCCCTCACAGACTACAAGAGGAAGAACATCTGTGCACCTGCCCATGATGCCTCCCTGCCTAACGAGCTCAACACCTTCTATGCTAGGTTTGAAGCCAACAACACAGAACCAGTCATCAGAACTGTACCCTCTGCAGCTGACCAGCTGCTCTCACTGTCTGCAGATGAGGTGAGGAGATATCTGCTAAAAGTGAACACACGCAAGGCTGCAGGACCCGACGGCATACCCAGTTGTGTCCTCAGAACCTGAGCCAATCAACTGGCGGGTGTATACACAGACATTTTCAACATGTCTCTGGCCCAAGCCGTAGTCCCCACCTGCTTCAAGACAACCACCATCATCCCAATACCAAACAAAACCACAGTGACATGTCTTAATGACTACCGACCAGTGGCACTAACACCTGTCATCATGAAGTGCTTCGAGAGGCTGGTCATGAAGCACATTAAGGACACCATCCCAAACACAGTGGACCCGTACCACTTTGCCTACCGGTCCAACAGATCCACAGATGACGCAATCTCCATTGCCACACACACGGCCCTATCCCATCTGGACAAAAAGAACACATAAACAAGACTACTATTCATCAACTTCAGCTCAGCTTTAAACACTATCATCCCAGAGAAACTAGTCAAGAAACTCAGTGCACTGGGTCTCAACACCACCCTCTGCAACTGGATTCGGGATTTTCTGACAGGCAGACCTCAGGCTGTCAGGCTTGGAAATCACACCTCCGGCACACTAACTCTGAATATTGGAGTCCCCCAGGGGTGTGTGCTTAGTCCATTGCTCTACTCCCTCTATAACCACGACTGTAAGGCCAAACACAACACCAACCCCATTATCAAGTTTGCAGATGACACCACAGTTGTAGGTCTGATCACAGACAATGATGAGAGGGCCTACAGGGAGGAGGTCAATCTCCTTACAACATGGTATGATGACAACAACCTCACCCTCAACGTCAGCAAAACCAAGGAGCTGATCGTTGATTTCAGAAAACTGCAAACCGGACATGCCCCTATCCACATCAACGGGACTGAAGTGGAAAGGGTCAGTAACTTTAAATTCCTTGGAATCCATATCACCGAGGACCTCAGATGGTCTCTCAACACCACCTGTCTGATCAAGAAAGTGCAACAGCGCCTGTACTTCCTAAGACAGTTGAAGAAGGCTAAGATATGTCCCCAGATCCTCACTAACTTTTACAGATGCACTACAGAAAGCACACTGACAGGCTGCATCACAGTGTGGTATGGCAACTGCAGTGCTGCTGACCACAAAGCCCTACAGCGGGTGGTGAAAACTGCCCAGTCCATCACTTGGGGTTACCCTCCCATCTATCCAGGACATTTATGACAGACGGTGCTTGAGGAAAGCTCTAAGCATAATCAAAGACCCCACACACCCCAGCTACAGACTTTATGATCTGCTACCATCTGGAAAATGGTACCGGAGCATTCGGGCCCGGACTACCAGGCAGTTTTTACCCCTGCACTATCAAACTGTTAAATTCCCAGCCTCTCTCACTCTCACTCTCACCTCACCTCTCACCTATGATCTGAACCTCACAGTGCCTTCTTCCTTTCTTACCAAAAACCCAAACACACATTGATAATCTACCTCTACCATACATGTCAAAAGCTCACTCCCCATAATTTCTATCCCTTTATTTTATTCTGTTGATGCATATTTTTGCACATAACCTGTTATTTTTTTTGTTGTTTTGCACATTGCTTGTTGTTGTTTTTTGCACATTGCCTGTTGTTGTTTTGCACATTGCCTGTTGTTGTTTTTTTGCACATCATCTGTTGTTGTTTTTTGCACACTGCCTGTTGTCTCTGTCTTTCTTTTGCTACACAATTGTATTGTTGTTGTTGTTGTTTTTTTCTCTTTGTACTACTTATGTCCGAGAGTTAGCTAAATAGCATTTCGTTATACCATATACCATGTATATGAGTGTAATGACAATACACTTGAACTTGACCATGGTAAAATTAGAGCTGAGCTCTGGGGACGAAAATAACAAAATGAAAGCCACCTTTTATTAGGAGTAAAACAGGATAAGCTACACAAGGATGTTTTTTGTGTATGTTAAGATGCCTTGCTCATCTTGAACAAATGACTTCTCTAGTTCACTGCATCTCATTGGAAACTGCCTTTTTTAATCATCTAGGTCTACTTATCAAGATGTAAATAATGATTCTTATTGAATAAATTTCTCATTATTCTGTTTGTTAGTAAGATGTTTCCTCTGCTTCATCGGCTGTGGAAACCCTTAATCATTCTGCCCAAGAGTTACTAATTATAATAGCAAAAGTGTCATCATGTAAACATAAGTAATACAACAAAAGAAACTTGATAAGTGTCCTTCACAGTAGTCTCTAAACACATTAAAGATACACTGCAGCTCTAGAACAGGAGAATCTAGACCTGAACTTAACAGTTCACTTTTATTAGCTTGGCATATTAAACTTCTTATCGAAGGTCTCTCACAACCCATGATTTAAAAAAAAAAGATTAACTTGTTAAACAATGTGAGATTCTGAGAACAATATTAAATTTCTTTAATTAATCCAGATTTGTGACTAATCAAAAGCTTGGCTGACATACACCCATCAGTGTATTCCAATAACTGGGTTCTAAATAAGGTGCTACACAATGTACAGAGCAGTGATGACCTATCATAGACTTGGAGAGACACACATGTAGGTTTTAATTGCATTGTTTTTTCATAAGTGAAACAACTCCTTATATTTAGACCAAATATTCAAATAAATGATAAATATCTCTAAGATATCCATCAAATCAAAATGAACCCAGAAGATGTTATTAGTCTTTAATCCTAAGGGAGTCTACAGTATATCTGATATAAAGCACTGTTCATTCATTAAGCTAATAATCTGGAGCTCTGTCACAACAAAATTATATGTTTGCCAAGTAAAGCACTGAGCAAGAAATGAAACACAGTTTTGTCTGGCAAGTTGTAAATTTGTTAATACGAAGTGTAAGAGGGCTGACAGTTATAGCACAAGTGCAGTCTAACTCTGGAGAAAATGGAGAGTTTGTTTCTAAAATGGCAGAACTCTTGTAATTTGAAGTGATGTGGAAGAAAAGACACACAAAAAATAAGCCATGGAGGTCATTTGGTGAGGTGCTTAATGAGAATTCTACCTCTGTTGTTGCACTGAAACCTAGGAATGGTCTGTCCTTTCGACTGTCCATGCTGCTGTAACAACGGCTTGTCCACCTGCAAGACCCATATTGACTATAAGTTTTGCAAGGCTCTTTTCTTTTTAAAAAATAAATTAGGTAATTCAGAGTTATTCAATCAATTATCAATCAACTCAGCGATCTTCTGTGAGTGACCTTCATACGACCACAGAAGAGATGGAAATCAATTTCCATGTGGAGTGCCCTTTTTTTCTCACTGTGAGCTGCACAGCACCTACAGCAGATTGAGCGTTAGATGGAAGGCTGATCCACTTCCCACTCAGAGTAATTGAAATGCTTCTCTTTCACTAGCTGAAGGCAGAAACTGGGGAAACTATAGCCTGCAGTCTGTACATGACTATTCATACATTTGAAGACAAAAGGTAGATTAATTTGTCATTTGGGCAATACAAACAGACTGCACTACAGATTCCTGTAGGGCTCATCTGCTGAGAATGATGGACTCATATCACCTCCTTGCCACACTAAGTGTGTTTGATTAGTGCCGCAGTTCAGTTCGGCATGACATTACATATTTAACATGCTCCTCTTCAAATTTAAAATAATTTTAAAGAAGCATGGGTAAAAAATTATTGGTTGCTTGCTACGTGTGAACACCTTAAAAAGGAAGTAAGCATAGTGAGAACAGAGCAGGACATGGAGCTTCGTACTTTGCTGAGCTGCTGACATACCGCCAGGTCAAACTGTCAGGAATTGAATGTGATTGACAGGGCATAGATATTGCACGTCCAATATTGTATGCTCAAATATTTTAACATTTCCTCAAAATGAAGAGAAAATTGATTGAGCTCTCATAAAACCTGGCTAATGTTAGATGAGTCTATAAGTTCAAAGAAAAGAGTCTGAATTGTCTTATACACATTCTTCAGAAGGAATCTGATTAAATGGTGTTTTTAATGAAAATACTGAAAAAGAGACAAGAATTTTACCTTTAAAATAAAATTGTATGTTTACGCTGGGCTACTTACAATATAGGCCAGTGGAGATAATACAGTCAGATTTTGAAACCCTACAGAAAAATCAAGAGTCAAAATCTTTAAAAAAAAATAGAGTAGACCTGATAGAACATGATTATGGTTTGTGAAATTACTAACTAAAAATTGTTTTAAGTAAACCCTGTAAGCTTGTCTATCGACAGTGATTGTCGATTGTCTAGTGACAGTAATTATGCTTTTTGTTACACTGATGTTTGGAGTTATGCTTGTCACTGTTATGGACTCCTGGACCTCTGCTGCCCCTTATAATTTACTATCTCCCATTCACACTAGACTCTGGAACCTCATGGTTTACAGATTAAGCACTGGGCATTTGCACATACTGAAAGGAAAGATACAGGTCTTAAAGCAACATTTAAAAAAAAAAACCTGACTTGGACTGTGATGGTAAGCACTATTGTTTTCATAGGACCATCTATGACAGAGAAAAGACAACCAAACTGACCCAGCTTTAGCAGAACTATTCCATTTGAAAAGGGTGATTTACCATATGCAAGCAGTAAACCTCTAATATTACTTTTTTATTGTTTCTCAAGTATGGTATAATTGGGAGTGAATTGGTCTCATTAGGCAGATATGGTTGATACAGACTTGTAAGAATGCAATGTGAATGCATTCCAAACACTCCACATTTGACAAACTGCCTTTGATAGGATGAAATAATAATAAAATAATAATAATAATAATAATTATGATGATGCACAGATGCAGAAACAAAATAACACCAACCACTGCTATTTGAAATATCAAAACTTGTTTAAACAAAGACAATTCAAGATGTATTTTGTATTTATTAAAAATAACTCCACATCCCTCCTTTGGTATTCTAAATACCTCCTTGACTCCAGTGACATTTTCAAAAATACTTAAGATAATTTTGTGGATTTTTAAACATAAACATTATTTTAAAAACTAAGAAAGGAAACTTCCAAGATCACGCAGCAAGAGACACTGGCATGACCGCAAAGCCTTAAGTTACACATAAAAAAGTCGCTTTACTACTTCAAAAAAGTTCCTTACCCCAAGCAGGGTCAGGGTTGCCAAAGAGCAGCACAACTTTTTTAAAAACTCAAACTGCACATCATTCTGTTTCTCCCGGCATTATTTTGTTTTACCAGCACCACAATGTCTCCAAACTGGTGGGTTTGAAAAAAGCCAGAACAATTCATTGCTTTTAAAGAGCTTAACACAATTTTTGTTAGTGTACAAATTCTTCCTGTTTTTTCCCTCAAGGGATAGTTCTTGTTGTATTGAAAAACAAATCCCTTTTTCCCTGAAATAAAGCGAAGCCACCCCCATCGTTCCCTCTTGTTTTTACGTCACACGAGAGAGTCTGAGTTTGGCCCCCTGCATTCCTCAGCAGTGTATCTCGTAAGCGATCTGCGTGTCAAACAGAAGGCTCTGGTTGAGGAACAGGCCCTCTCCGTCCGGCCCCTCCCTCCCATCCCCAGCCCCAGCCTCCACAGTCTGAGTGGCTTGGTCCTGCAGGGGCTCAGAGGGGGACAGCGCCCCCTGCTGCGGGTAGCTGGCCGGGAAAACGGGCTTGCTGCGGTTAAGAACATACATCTCGTGCCCGCGCTCATCTCGGTACTCCTCCAGCTGGGCGAAAGTGGTGGGCCCATCGGAGTAGTCGTTGACGTAGAGGATGCTCTCCTCCTTGTGACCCTTCTTGCGCTGCTGGTGGCGGCTGTAGATCATGGCGATGAGCAGCAGGGCAGTGAGGGCCAGCAGCGAGATGCCGACAGCGATTGTGGTTTGGGTGGCCATGCTGAGCGCATTGAAGTCCATGCTCTCTAACTCGTAGAGGGGCTCCTGGCTGATGTCCACGGCTGGGAAGGCATGCGAGCGCTGCGAGGTGGACGATAGGTTGACCGAGAGGTAAAATGTGACTCGGGCCACGCCACCCGGATTCCAAGCCTCGCACTCGTAACGGCCGGTGTGCGCCACTGTGACGTTGCTGAGGAACAGCATCCCGCTGCCCGTGTCTGGATCAAAATGTTCCCCACGGACACTTTTCCAAGGCCTTGCTGTTACCCCCCCAGCATCCTTTTCCACCATTCCTTTATGCGAGGACTCTGACTTGGCCTGGGACACTTTCCGCCAAGTTACCTGTGGCTGAGGGTAGCCCGAGGCCTGGCAGGACACGCGCAGGTTCTCCCCCAGCCGCACGGTGAGGTGGCTGGGCTCCAGTTGCACCACGGGCGGTATGCACACCAGGCTGTTGCCGGGCACCTCTACCAGGCTCAGGTGGGACAGGCGGGGGGGCTCTGCGCAGACAAGCCGACGCTCCGATGAGCTCAGCAGCCTCTGGCCCTCTTCATTGATCCAGCTGCGCAACCAGTGCAGGGCGCAGTCACAGCGCCAGGGGTTTTCTGAACACAGAAACACAGAGAAGGAAAGAGCCAGAGGCAGGGAAGCAAGGGAAGGGAGGGAAAAGGACACAGAAGGTAGATCAGGGAGAGGGACAAAGAAATAGGAAGCAGAACAAAGACAAAATGGAAGAGAAAGCTGTCAGCTGCTTTGCATTAAATCAGCATGTGCACATTCAAGGACAATGGAATCTAAGGAGACAAGCATGAGCACAAAAAATGAGAATATCACTAATACAATGAGGTATACCATTTATTTTCTGGAACTTCAAACAGAAATCCAGCATCAATTAAAAATATTATAGAGAATTCTGTACTATTATGTAGTTGAGTATGCATCATGCAGAGATGGATACAAATGGGGAATAGATGATAAGTATTAAACAGGACTTGGAAATTCGAACACTATTGAAATATTTTATTTTTTAAATGGCTCTCTAAAAATTTGGATGGGTTCTAATTTAGACCCAAACCTACTGCTATTTTCATTCAATAGTTTTCAACCCTCCATTTTGTCCTCATATTTGCTTTGTAATTCCTCATTTATTTAGAAGTGGCTATTGTCCAAAGCAACATACATACTGTATGTATTTTAACTGGAGTAGTTTTGAGTATACCTTGCTGGCGTGTACAACAACTGTGTCTTACCCAGGATTTGAGCTCACAACCATCCAGTTAAAACACAGAACCCTAACCACTGCTCCACACTGCTGCACTGGGAAACTGTGATATGATTTCTCTCACTTTTGAACTTTGGCATATCCAGAGATGGTTAAAAAAATGCCTGACCATATTTTGAAAAAAATTAAATTCCAGTCAGTTCCTTACTTGATTAATCAACTTGATTAATATCTTAATCAGAACAGTCCTTTTCATACAATTTTATGTTGTCTCCCAAAGAAACAGAGAAAACCTGTGAAATTCTGGCATTTACCCCACCTGTGACACGCAGCACCTGCAGACTGACCAGAGCCCCCAAGGAGCCCTGGCTCATGGTGCGCAGGTTGTTCCGGCTGAGGTCCAGCAGGGCCAGTGAGGACAGCCCCACCAGTGCTTTTTCCCCCAGTAGCTCTACGCTGTTCTCCTGCAGGTGCAGCTCCTGTAATCTCTGCTCAAGAGAGAAAGAGGAGGAATTATAGACATTTTTATTATTATTAATAATTATAGAAAAAATTACAAATTTCAAATTGAGCACAAAATTGTGAACATTGTGAGAGTACTGTAAATCACCATGTTGACGCAACTCACATTTGAGTTCCCTCGAATAGCCATGTGATGCGACCCTTCCTGCTCACTAGTTTCCATAATGACTCATGTAGTGTGATGAATACAAGCGTATAAATACAGGTTGTGCAGCACACATTTCACCGCAGAAATGTTCCCATGTGATCTGCATACAGAGTTAACAAGTAGTCTTTTTTGGAAAAAAAGTCGCAAAATTGAAAGTAATATTTCTATTGGATTAAAAGAGATGGATTCACAGGCCTGCTTGCTTACAATGCCATAGGGCCTCACAAGTCACCAGATGTATTGTTGCCTCGTTCTGAATGGCAGAACATGGCGCTGTGCATACCTGGAAATCTCGTCTATTTTGTGATGTAAATTGGAGGTTTTACAAGTTACTGTGCACATTTTACATTATTGTGGTCTGAATGATGTGGTTTGATGCACTCATCAATGCTAATTTTTTCTACCCCAAAATATGAAAATAGCGTTGCAGTTCCACTTTAAGAAAAAGATGTGCATGTGATGTCCCTAAGTATTGTGCAGCTGGAAGGGCAGGATGCGTCATCATGTAGAGGGGGAAGGGCTGCAGCCTGCTGACCTGCAGGCCTCGGAAAGTGAAGTCCTGTAGCCGTGTGATCTGGTTGCCAGCCAGGTAGAGGATACGCAAATGTTCAAGGCCCTGGAATACGTCGGCAGTGATCAGGTGAATGCGATTGCCATTGAGGGCCAGCTCCAGCAGCTGGCCCTGACTGTGGAAGGCACCAGGCTCAAGGGCCGAGATACTGTTGTTCTGCAGGTAGAGGTAGTGCAGCTCCCCCAGCCAAAACAGATCCTGCTGCCGAATCTGGCCGATGGCGTTGTCTTGGAGGAAAATGGTCTGCACGGACAATATGGACGCAATTTAATTCAACACATGAAGGAGAAAATACACAGGTAACTGATGAACTGAGATAATTACTGCAGCAGGCAAACGCTATGCAATTTAGTCGAGAATACTGTAGGTTTCTTGTTCAGAAACATAGTTTGAACAGGAATACCGTTCCCGGAAAACAATTGAGAATTATTGCAGCATTCCGGGTTTTTCCCATTGGGCATTGGGCAAGGAGATACCCTTGGTCTAGGCTGATTCTCTGGAATCGTGCATTGCGATCGAATGCGGGAGATCAACTGGTGTAGGTAATGGATGTGTCCTTTGTAGTCCCGGTGTGCCGCCCAGCCAGAGTGGAGGGAGCAGGGAGCTGGGAGCAGGAATGAGTGTTCATGTGGGAAAATATTGAGGACATGGAGCAGCGCAGACCCGCAGGTTAAGTACTCTATCCTGTTTGGGCATAGCCTGAGTGTAAATAGTTGAGAGCATTAAAGTCAGGTTCTTTTCACCAGTGTCCCTGAGGTTTTTGGTAACCTCACACAACAATAATTATCCATCCACTCACAACACGTTCATAATAACCAGAAATTACTGTGAAATAAACCCAAGAAGCCTGACATCAAACTTACCTGTGTGGTAGGAGGGACATCTGAGGGAATCTCTCGCAGGCCAATAGAGCCACACTCGACGGTCAGACTGTAACACTGACACCCTGCTGGGCACCCCAGCGTCCTGACAACGTGCATAACCAGAACAATAAGGTTCGGCAGCAGGATGTCCATCGTGGACAGAGTGTTATGTTGAGGAGTCCCGAAGTTGAACAGGCAGGTCAGACTGAAACACAGGAAGAGGCATTTTCTATCTTCTGTTTTAATTTGAACACAAAAAAGAATGGAACACTTGAGTGGAGTGTCCAGAAAAGCGCTATATAATTGTAAGCAATTATTATTATTACTGTCGTGCCAGAAAAAAGGCCTTCAGCTGAGTTTGTGTGTTGAAAGCCGTCTTCATTTCATATGCATATGGAAGTCTTGTGTTGTGTGGCACAAGACTTAAAAACCAATGTTTACAGTGCTCTTTTATATAGTGAACTAACAATACAAGATACTCTCCCACATGACTCTCTGTTTGACTCTCTGTTTGCCATATATATATGGTCATTCTAAAAAGCTGACCATTACATACAGTATATATTCTTTACTGCCGGCTTGCATGACAAGTGTACGCTGGGCAAACGTTCCAAGGTCAAATTCTTCGACGATGGGGGTACCTTTAAAGCGCAGACGATGGCACCAAAAATTTTTGGTGCGCCCTCTCTTTAAAGCCCTGGCCAAATACAAAGACAGTATGTACAGTTATAATTCAAACTGAATTAAAAACTACACATCCCAGTTACCATGGTGCTTGTGATCCTTGCGTTTAACCAATGAAACAGGGCAAAAAATCAGTCACATGACTTTGGGGCTGAGTTTTGAAAGCTTAACCTATCAGCAACAAAGCGAAATCTACACGATAGACTACCTCAAACTGTCAGTTACACAACTGTGTATGTCGCTTAAGCCACTCCTATTTGGCACTTTAGTTATGGAAGCGGAGGGTGCCTGACTTTAACCATTCCATGTCCGAATCGCAGTAGGTAGAGACACGTACAAAAAAACGTTCATCCGAGCTACAATACATATATATTTTTGTGGTAAGAGGGAACAAAACATCAGTATTTACTGTTAGTAATAAGTGTACGATTTATAGTTGAAATCTAAGCCTAAATATAAAGTTTAAATCTCGACAAAACAATGTAGGAAATGCGCACTCAGAAATACACAGAGAAAATAAATCCTTTCTGACATCTCAAATCAGTTTCGATCAAGGTCTCCAAAATGAACAAGAAAAAGAGCATTTTCAGAGAGCAATTAAGGTGTGTTTATGTAGAATAAGTGATTATATGTATGATTTAATCTAATTTCTTAGTCGTTTAAAACAGTGAAATGTCAGCTGCAAAAATCGCACTAGAGACAGCACTATCTCTGCCTGTCATAGACGTTCAGGAAAGGGTGAATGAAGTCATGTCAAGTACAATAATTTGGTGATCAATAATAACTGTTGTAGGACAAGACACAAAAGATAGTGAAAACTTAAGCTTTTTACGGCTAAAACTAAAATTCTGTCTACAAATTAAGGCAAATGAAAATTTAGGACGCTAAAGGTGCTAGAGGTGTAAAAAATACAAAAATGCACATGAGCAAAAAGTTTTAGAAATGGAGCAGGTGTTACTGTACATTGAAATAAGCAAACAGAAAAAACCCATGACTATACATAGTGCAGAAGAGGGATGCAGGAACACTTGCTTAGATATACAAAAATATCACAGAAAGGTGTATGTTACAAAAGAACATGCAAACATGAAATAGAATGAGGAATCAGAAAATTAGCATGCATGAAAAACAGCAAATCTGTCAGAGAGCCTTAAATAAATAAATAGAAAATGGTTTCATGGAGGGCTTCTCAGATAGTTGGGCATTCAGGTAGATTGCCAGACGAAAGCATTTGTAAATATATTTTGTTAAAGCAAGTCAGTTTTTCGCAACACATAAAAAAAAAACATTTTTCCAAGAAAGTTTAACCTCTGTCACTAATGAAACCACTAAATAAAGACATAAATGTAGAAAT